TCAGTGTACTGTCTTTTATCTTGATAATAATCATTCAACTATAAGAAACGAAGGATACATAGAGAGATCCATAAAAAGGAGAATGTAGGGCACCTGGGTGGCTCAGATGTTTTAAGCATCGCCTTCGGCTCAGGTCATGATCCCAGGATCCTGGGATCGAGTCCCGCATCGGGCTCCCTGCTCCTTGGGAGCCTGCTTCTCCCTCTGCTTCTCTCTCTCTCCGTCTCTCATGAATAAATAAATAAAATCTTTAAAAAAAAGGAGAATGTAAATAAGTGCCCAATGTGGAATGTCAGTAGTAAATGTGAGAAGAGATCAGGAGAAGGAGAGAAGCATAAGGTAATTTCGAGAGGGATGAGAAAAGAAATCAATGCTAAAAGAGATATGAAAGAATATTCAAATTATGAGATTTCTTTTTTTTTAAGATTTTATTTATTTATTTGACACAGAGAGAGAGACAGCTAGAGAGGGAACACAAGCTGGGGGAGCAGGAGAGGGAGAAGCAGGCTCTTGGTTGAGCAGGGAGCCCAATGCAGGGCTCAATCCCAGGACCCTGGGATCATGACCTGAGCCGAAGGCAGACGCCTAACGACTGAGCCACCCAGGCGCCCCTCAAATTATGAGCTTTCTTACTTAAGAATACTTCTACTCTTCAGGCTAGTATTGATGATACTGGGACTTAAGTGACACAGGACTCGTGACCCTGATCTGACGACAATCTTGCAGTCTTGTTTTCCCTGACTTAAAAAAAGACACATTTGGAAAATGTGCAAAAAGCATACATCCATATATTCATAAACCTGCATTTTCCTTGGCTCAGATATCTTGAGTAAATTGGAGAAGTTATAGACCTGTATGTAACTAAACAATGGAATAAAAGGTGGAAAAATGCAATGATGGTTAGGTCCCAAATACATACCTTTTGGGTCTCGTAGGCACGTTCTTTCAAATATCAGCAGCAGATTGGAGGTATTGGCTTTCACTTTGCTAAAACCAAAATTCATGGCAGGAAACAAGTACAAATGTTTCTACCTGAAAGAACTGTAAGCTCCATCCCTTGAACTAAACTACTTACATACAGCAGCCCCAAAATCTTATGTTTTCCCACCACAAGACTGTCAAGTGATGGGAAAACATCTTGAACTCCCCAGGAGAGATTATGCAAGAAGATTTTGAGCAGAGGCAGTACATCGCAACAGTTACATGCCTGGGCTCCGAAGCCACACCACCAGGCTGGGGTCCTGACTTTGCCACTCTCTAGATCCATTGATGTCAGGTAAATTACTGCATCTCCCTTCCCTGGACCTCAGTTTCTGTATCTGTAAAATGGGTTAACAGTAACAACTTCAGGGGTTGTTGGGAAAAGTACAGTTGATCCTTGGAGAACACGGGGGTTGGGGCGCCCAGTCCCCAGCCCCCTGCGCAGTCAAAACTCCTGCATAACTTTTGACTCCCCGAAAACTTAACTACTGACTGACCAGAAGCCTTAGCGACAAAAGTCAATTAACACGTTTTGTATGTTATATGTATTATGATACGTATTCTTACAATAAAGTCAGCTAGAAAAAGATGTTATTAAGAATCATAAGGCAAGGGCGCCTGGGTGGCTCAGTTGGTTAAGCGACTGCCTTCGGCTCAGGTCATGATCCTGGAGTCCCTGGATCGAGTCCCGCATCGGGCTCCCTGCTCAGCAGGGAGTCTGCTTCTCCCTCTGACCCTACCCCCATCTCATGTGCTTTCTCTCTCATTCTCTCTGTCTCTCAAATAAATA